ACTCCCTGCTCACTGGCTGTGATTGACATCAGCAGAAGCCAATGACTCCCGCTGCTGTGTCTGAGCCAGTGAGGAGGGAGAAAGAGCCTCGGCTCTCGTGCACAGAGCTGTGACCAGCTGCTCACATGTAAACCGACTTTCTGGCAATCACCATTTTCTTTTTTTCACACACTGTGTCTGTGTGAGGAAAGGAGAGCCGATAACCAGCAAGGGTTGTCAGTACATTGTTGACAGGGTGATGATCAGTGCAGCCCCATCTGTGCCTATCAGTGCAGCATATTAGTGCCACCTTGGCAGTGCAGCCCCATCAGTGTATATCAGCGCAGCTTATCTGTACCCATCAGTGCAGTATATCAGTGCCACCTTGGCAGTGCAGCCCCATCAGTGTACATCATCGCAGCATATCAGTGCCGCCTTAGCAGTACAGCCCTATCAGTGTATATCAGCGCAGCTTATCCATACCCATTAGTTCAGCGTATTAGTACCCATCGATGCAGCATATCAGTGCCGCCTTGGCAGTGCAGCCCCATCAGTGTACATCAGCGCAGCATATCAGTGCCACCTTAGCAGTGCAGCCCTATCAGTGTATATCAGCGCAGCTTATCCATACCCATTAGTTCAGCGTATTAGTACCCATCGATGCAGCATATCAGTGCCGCCTTGGCAGTGCAGCCCCATCAGTGTACATCAGCGCAGCATATCAGTGCCACCTTAGCAGTGCAGCCCTATCAGTGTATATCAGCGCAGCTTATCCATACCCATTAGTTCAGCGTATTAGTACCCATCGATGCAGCATATCAGTGCCGCCTTGGCAGTGCAGCCCCATCAGTGTACATCAGTGCAGCATATCAGTGCCACCTTAGCAGTGCAGCCCTATCAGTGTATATCAGCGCAGCTTATCTGCACCTATCAGTGCAGCATATCAGTGCCGCCTTGGCAGTGCAGCCCCATCAGTGTACATCAGCACAGCATATCAGTGCCACCTTAGCAGTGCAGCCCTATCAGTGTATATCAGCGCAGCTTATCTGCGCATATCAGTGCCACCTTGGCAGTGCAGCCCCATCAGTGTATATCAGCTTATCCGTACCCATCAGTTCAGCGTATTAGTACCCCATCAATGTAGCATATCAGTGCCGTCTCAGTAGTGCAGCCTCCTCAGTGCCTCCTTATCATTGCCCATCAGTGCAGCCTTATCAGTGTTCATCAGAGCCCATCAGTGCCTCTTTATCATTGCACTTCAGTGCAGTCTTATCAGTGTCCATCCATGCTACTTCATCAGTGCCCATCAGTGCAGCCTCATCAGTGCCTCTTTATCATTGCCCATCAGTGCAGCCTCATCAGTGCCTCTTTATCATTGCCCATCAGTGCAGCCTCATCAGTGCCTCTTTATCATTGCCCATCAGTGCAGCCTTATCATTGTCCATCAGTGCTACTTCATCAGAGCCAATCAGTGCAGCCTCATCAGTGCAAATCCCTGAAGAAGAAAAACTACTTATTTGAAACATTTTGTAACAGAAACTAAGAAAAACCTTTTTTGTCAAAATTTTCGGTCTTTTTTTTCATTTGTTTGGCAAAAAAAACCTAAAAAATCCAGCGGTGATTACATATCACCAAAAGAGATCCCTATCTGTCTCAAGAAAGTGCTAAAAATGTCATCCGAGTACAGTGCTGCATGACCGCGCTATTATCATGCAAAGTACGATAGCACTGAAAGCGGGAAGGGGGTGAAAGTGCCCGGCATTGAAGTGGTTAATGCCGCTTTAATAAAAACAAATGAAAATTTGAACAGGCAGAACACTTGATGATGGCTCTCCGAGGACCCCGAAAAAAAAAAAAAAAGCAAACAGTTGTGTTGTCAAACTTGCTTTGTTTGCCTTGGTCTATTAAAGGAGATGCGTTTCTTTCAAATGTGCACTTATCCTTGGAAGGGATTTTGTAATCACAGTTGCATTTGCCGCAGTTCAGTATGTTAAGTGATATTGAGAGTCTTGGGGATTGTCATTGTGGGTTTCAGGCTTTACGCTAACAACCCAAAAAAAAAAAAAAAAATCTATTGCAGCAAGTGGATTTGGGCGAACGGCCAGCCATACAGCGCCAGGCACCCGTCAGCGAACAAGAATGGGAATCTCACATTGATTCTGAAGGGCGAGTGATGGATGTGGACGGACTGAAGAAGAAGATATTTTCTGGGGTGAGTCCTGCTGGGGAGAAGAGATTAGGTCTTAACACTGCAGCATCCACTGCAGACCCTGCACTTCCATCTTTGCACGCAAGATGGGGCTGTTCCCCTGCAGAGGAATAGCAAAAAAAAAAAAAAAAAAAAAAATTCATTGCAGATATATTGAAGCACATGGGGATCTATTCAATTAAATATGTGTTATTCATTTGATTTTTAGGGCTTATGCTCGGCACTACGGAAAGATGCCTGGAAGTTTCTTCTGGGTTATTATCCATGGGACAGCACAGCAGAAGAAAGGAAAGCTTTAGTCCGTAGGAAAACGTAAGCCTGTGTGCATACTGCATCATTGTGTGCGCCCTCTACTGGATAACATTGTCACTACAGCATTTCTCCTGCTCAACTGTCCTTTTTTTGCAGACTCTGAACAGAGCTGACATATGGTGTTAGGTCCGGAGATGCACTTTTTTTTCCAAGGGGTGGGTGGGAAGAGAACAGTGATGGATGTACTTTGTCGCTTGGTGGATAGTTCATCCTAAACAGATTTCAATACACTCTATAAAAGCAGTTTAAAAACAGATAAAGAGAAATTGTGGCTTATTATTATTATACAGGATTTATATATTATTATTGTTATTATTATACAGGATTTTATATATTATTATTATACAGGATTTATATATTTATTATTATTATACAGGATTTATATATTATTATTATTATACAGGATTTATTATTATATTATTATTATACAGGATTTATATATTATTATTATTATTATAATACAGGATTTTTATTATTATTATTATTATACGGGATTTATATATTATTATTATTATACGGGATTTATATATTATTATTATTATACGGGATTTATATACAGGATTTATTATTATATTATATATTATTATTATTATACAGGATTTATATATTATTATTATATACGGATTTTTATTATTATTATTATACAGGATTTATATATATTATTATTATACAGGATTTATATATTATTATTATTATACGGGATTTATATATTATTATTATTATTATTATTTATTATATTATTATTATTATACAGGATATTATATATTATACAGGATTTATTATTATTATTATACAGGATTTATATATTATTATTATTATACAGGATTTATATATTATTATTATACAGGATTTATATATTATTATTATTATACAGGATTTATATATTATTATTATTATACAGGATTTATATATTATTATTATTATACAGGATTTATATAGCACCAACAGTTTGTTCAGCACTTTACAATATAACGGGAGCCAATACAGCAACAATACAGTTCAATACAAGAGGGTTTGGGAGGGCCCTGATCCTGGGAGCTTACATGAGCTTTATGACGGAAGGCGAATCACAAGTTGATTTTTTGTCTTGTAAATTATTGATATTTTTGCTTTTTGTGCCTGGAGGTCAGATATAGTAGTTTTCAGTGCAGGACTTCCAGCACCAAGAACTAGTGTGAGTTCTGTAGTCTCTACATCGGGGGTCTCCAAACTTTCTAAACAAAGAGCCAGTTTATTGTTCTTCAGACTTTAGAAGAGCCAGACTGTGGCCAGTGGGAGTAGAAAATAGCATAACAATGCCCCATTGTTTGTGTCAGTGAGAGGAATAGTGCCCCATCATTGGTGTCAGTGGGAGGAATAATGCCCCATCATTGGTGTCAGTGGGAGGAATAGTGCCCCATCATTGGTGTCAGTGGGAGGAATAATGCCCCATCATTGGTGTCAGTGGGAGGAATAGTGCCCCATCGTTGGTATCAGTGGGAGGAATAGTGCCCCATCATTGGTGTCAGTGGGAGGAATAGTGCCCCATCATTGGTGTCAATGGAGGAATAGTGCCCCATCATTGGTATCAGTGGGAGGAATAGTGCCCCATCATTGGTGTCAGTGGGAGGAATAGTGTCCCATCATTGGTGTCAATGGAGGAATAGTGCCCCATCATTGGTATCAGTGGAAGGAATAGTGCTCCATCATTGGTGTCAGTGGGAGGAATAGTGCCCCATCATTGGTGTCAAAGGGGGGAATAGTGTCCCATCATTGGTGTCAGTGGAGGAATAGTGTCCCATCATTGGTGTCAGTGGGAGGAATAGTGTCCCATCATTGGTGTCTGTGGGAGGAATAGTGCCCCATCATTGGTGTCTGTGGGAGGAATAGTGCCCTATCATTGGTATCACTGGGAGGAATAGTGCCCCATCATTGGTAACACTGGGAGGAATAGTGCCCCATCATTGGTATCAGTGGGAGGAATAGCGCCCCATCATTGGTATCAGTGGGAGGAATAGTGCCCCATCATTGGTATCAGTGGGAGGAATAGTGCCCCATCATTGGTGTCAGTGGGAGGAATAGTGTCCCATCATTGGTGTCAATGGAGGAATAGTGCCCCATCATTGGTATCAGTGGAAGGAATAGTGCTCCATCTTTGGTGTCAGTGGGAGGAATAGCGCCCCATCATTGGTGTCAGTGGGAGGAATAGTGCCCCATCATTGGTGTCAAAGGGGGGAATAGTGTCCCATCATTGGTGTCAGTGGGAGGAATAGTGTCCCATCATTGGTGTCAGTGGGAGGAATAGTGTCCCATCATTGGTGTCTGTGGGAGGAATAGTGCCCCATCATTGGTATCAGTGGGAGGAATAGCGCCCCATCATTGGTATCAGTGGGAGGAATAGTGCCCCATCATTGGTGTCAGTGGGAGGAATAGTGCCCCATCATTGGTGTCAGTGGGAGGAATAGTGCCCCATCTTTGGTATCAGTGGGAGGAATAGTGCCCCATCATTGGTATCAGTGGGAGGAATAGTGCCCCATCATTGGTATCAGTGGGAGGAATAGCGCCCCATCATTGGTGTCAGTGGGAGGAATAGTGCCCCATCATTGGTATCAGTGGGAGGAATAGTGCCCCATCATTGGTGTCAGTGGGAGGAATAGTGCCCCATCATTGGTATCAGTGGGAGGAATAGTGTCCCATCATTGGTGTCAGTGGGAGGAATAGTGCCCCATCATTGGTATCAGTGGGAGGAATAGTGCCCCATCATTGGTATCAGTGGGAGGAATAGTGCCCCATCATTGGTATTACTGGGAGGAATAGTGCCCCATCATTGGTGTCAGTGGGAGGAATAGTGCCCCATCATTGGTGTCAGTGGGAGGAATAGTGTCCCATCATTGGTGTCAGAGGGAGTAATTATTACCCTTTGTTAATGTCAGGGGAAGGAATGGTGCCCCAAGGGCCAGATAAAGGCGAGCACAGCGCATGGTTTGGAGATCACTGCTATACATTAAAGCAACCCCCAAACACCTGACCTTCCCCTACCTAAAAACTTATAGTGGGATTAAACGTAAAGATTGAAAAACGACAGACAGGATTTTCATGACAGAAGAAACCCTAGGGGGGAGGTTTACTAAAATGAGCGCACACAGAGTCTAATGCAGCTGTGCATGGGAGCCAATCGGCTTCCAGGTTTTATCATGAAAGTTTAATTGAATGAGCTGAAGTTAGAAGCTGATTGGCTGCTATGCACAGTTGCACCAGATTCTGTGTGTGCTAATCTTAGTAAATCTCCCCCAGTTGGTCAATTCTGTCCTAACTGCGTTCTGTCAATTTTTTTTTTTGGGTGGCAGTTTAATTCCCCGATAACGCCTAACCTCTAAAAAAAAAGTCCATAACACTTCATTTTCCCCTCAACACATAACCCATTCTTACCACACAACCCTCCCCCCCCAATCCCTACACCTAAAGCCGTAATATACCCAACACCAAAAGACGTATTAGCAGATTTAAATACACCAACAAATTGAAGCCAGACTTCAGCTCACACTTTATCAAAATCAACAGTTTTTTTTTTCCTTATGGGATAAAGGTTTTACATAAATAGAAGGTGATCATTGTAAGCACCCCTGTCAGTGGTAAATATTTTATTTCATCTCTCTAACTCCTATATCTGCAGAACAGCTTGTTCTTTTAACAAAAACAACAGACTTACTGGGCAGATCACCATGTGAAAATAGGGAATGAAAGCCTAAAAAAGAAAACTAATGCAGCCATCATATCGAAGAATTCTTAAGCTACAATATAATAAATGTTTGCTTTTGAGTTTAATGCTTTAATGCAACACCTAAAATAAACCCTTAACACTTAACTTTCTCCCCCAATTTTTTAACCCCCCCCCTAAAAAGTGTAGCGCTAACCTAACCCGTGAACTAGGCCCTTACACTTATTAACCTGTATTCTGTCCTCTCATCCAATCATGTGCTTGGATCATTCCTTGCATTAAGGTAAACATATCACCCCTCTCCCTATTTCCGCTGTGCCTGGCACAAGCCCTAGCCTCCCATCTTCAATTTTCCCCCTTCCCCACCTGATCCAGAGCTGTGCCTGTCTGCTGCAGTGGATCTCTCCTCTCACTTCCTGGTCTTGCATGCTTTGCTGTGGTGGAGGAGCAGGGGCAGGGCTGAGCCTCGCTGTCTGTGTCTATGGCTGCAGGCAGCGCAGCTGAAGCCCGCAGGTGTGCCACCATAGGAAGCAGCTTCCGATGGTGGCACACCAAGAACAGGAGGACCCAGGAGTGGTGGTTGAGGATCCAAGAAGAGGGGGTTCAGAGCCACTTTGTGCAGTCCCATTGCACAGAGCAGGTCAATACAAACCTTTTTGTTATTTAAATAAATTAACTTTACATTTACAATCACTTTAAAACAATTTCCCCCCTTGATCCAGAGCTGTGCCTGTCTGCAAGTGGCTTTCTCCTCTCACTTCCTGGTCTCACATGCTTTGCTGTGATGGAGGAGCAGGGTCAGGGCTCATCCTCGCTGTCTGTGTCTATGGCTGCAGGCAGCGCAGCTCAAGCCCGCAGGTGTGCCACCATAGGAAGCAGCTTCCGGTGGTGGCACACCAAGAACAGGAGGACCCAGGAGTGGTGGCAGAGGATCCAAGAAGAGGAGGTTCAGGGCCACTCTGTGCAGTTCCATTGCACAGAGCAGGTAAATAGAAACCGTTTTGTTATTTAAATAAATTAAATTTACAATCACTTTAAAACGTTTTCCCCGCTTCCCCACTTGATCCTGAGCTGTGCCTGTCTGCAAGTGGCTCTCTCCTCTCACTTCCTGGTCTCACATGCTTTGCTCTCTGTGTCTATGGCTGCAGGCAGCGCAGCTCAAGCCCGCAGGTGTGCCACATAGGAAGCAGCTTCCGGTGGTGGCACACCAAGAACAGGAGGACCCAGGAGTGGTGGCAGAGGACTCAAGAAGAGGAGGTTCAGGGCCACTCTGTGCAGTTCCATTGCACAGAGCAGGTAAATA